AGACTTGTACACATTCAGTCTCATGAGGCGGTCTCAGACCTGCTCTGTCCTCACAGCGGGGGGGATTTACCACAAATCTCAGAACGAATCTCAGGAATCCCAACTAATTTTGGATTTCACAGAAAGACTGTGGTGGTATATTTGACTCTTTAAAAATGTGTTTCTAAGCAATCCTAGACAATAAGCCCATACAAGATGGTCAGTACCTCTCCCTTTGTACTGGCTTGACACTTCTTGCTGAAATTTATTTCTGTTTAGTAGGAATATCAGAGAGAAAGATAGAGTGGATTAAAATTTTGGCAGCCTTGATGCCCTTCAAAAATGAAGCAGGTGTTACTGGTTGACTTTCCGGGGATTCTGCTTTCTTTACATATAAGCACTTCTTACTGACTGGTTGACGTAAAGGGTTTTAATGAAACAGTATGCAAGACAACCAGTTAAAGTGAATACGTCATCACATCAAAAGTTAATTAGATAATGCAAAGCTCTCATTTGAGATAAACAGGAAACAACTTGTGCCTCTTGCTTAGGCCTTTTTCTGGCATTCAGAAGCATGTGGGAACGGAAGCCTGGAATCACAGGGTGCACTTGGTGTTATGTATCTCTATGGACAAGGTGTACGTCGGAACAGTAAGGCCGCTCTGAAGTGCTTGAAAGCAGCAGCAGAAAGAGGAAACATCTATGCTCAAGGCCACCTTGTGGAATATTATTACAATAGAAGATTCTTCTCAACAGCTGCTACCATAGCCAAAAGGTTAGTTAATTTTTTTGTTTATTTCTCATTATATTCGTATAAGACGATGGACCTTACTTAAATAAAAGGGATTATTAAGTTCATAAACTTAAGATCAGGAGACATTTGAGATAATGAATTGCAGGGCCTCATTTTTAAAGGGGGGATAGCAGACCACTGCCAAAATTAAGTCAGTAGGGTTCTCAGTTATTCAGTACAGATGAACTTTTCTTCCTGATGCTGTGAAGCAAACTAGTCTTGAATTAAAAAGAGTCTCAGGTAGAGTCCTATCTTTCTGTCTCCTTGTCCACTGTCTGGGCCAGGCTCCTATTTTAAACCCCTAGAGGTGTTCTGTTCTCCACAGCCTCCATTTTCATGTCATTTTTGCCCACCATCTTTTGCCTTGTTACTGGTTGGGAACCCACAGTAACCCCTCTGAACAGCACGGCATGGGACCTAGAGGTGGCTGCTGCAGGCAGTGCCAAGCCACCGCACTTTAGCTTTGCATCCCTTGCTGCTTACTGGGATGCATACTGCGTATGCACTTTTTGAGCCTGACCCACAAAATCAGTCATCATCTGCATGCAAGTGGTTTCTGTAATTACTTGACCCCTGTACATGCCACTGCATAGCAGCAGCTCTGGTAATTCAGCACTAGTTCAGCAGTGAATGCTGTTTTCTCTGCTCATTGCTGAATAGTCTTCTCAGAGAAAGCTGCTTTGTTTTCTTCTTGTGCTGCAAACATGCTAATGGCTGTTCAGTCTGGGCTAGCTGGTCTTGTTTGGAACATGCGCCCTCCAGGCAGTTGACTTAAACTGTGGCTCACAATAGCATTATCTAACCTAATGCTGTAAATCCTACAACAGGACTACAGAAAATGACAACATCGAGATGCTAGCAACGATGACTGACTGTCTGCCTGCACATGTAGCCAAAGGGGTTGCTATAGCTGCTTTCTACCTGGCTAGGTGCCTCCATCTTGGCAGAGGCATAGAGAAAGACGAAGCCGCTGCTAAAAAATACTATTCTAAGGTAAGCTGGTCAGGTGCTGGAATGGGCTGCCCAGGGAGGTGGTGGAGTTACCATCCCTAGAGGTGTTCAAGGAACATTCTGGTGTCATACTGAGGGACATGGCTTTAGTGGGAAATACTGGCAATAGGTGAACACTTGGACTGGATGATCAGAGAGGTCTTTTCCAACCTTGGTGATTCTATGATTCTAAAGCCTTGCAGCCTAATTTATGTCTCCTGAGACTGAGTGATGCCTTGGATGTGAGTCTTTAAACTTGCTGTTTTGTTTTATTAAAGGCTCTAACTTAAATAATATTTTTTAAATACTCTGCAAGAAAATGAAGAATAATAAAATTGTATTGAAAACTACTTCAGAGCCTTGAAGGATACTGTCTGCCCACTTGCTTCAACAAACAATTCATACTGTCAAACAAAAAAGTCCATGGAAGTCAGCAAAAAGCTTAGTAAGGCGGAGGATGGAACTCCCTGAATTATTCAAGTAATTTTATCATTTTTATTACATTTTTAATGATCGAGGAGCTACTAACACTGATATATAGGGGAAAAATCAGATCACATTTTCTAAATAAGTGCTAATGTTGAAGGAAGATTTACTGCCTGAGGAAGAAGACTAATAATGGCTTCTGAAAACTAAATTACATTAGTGATGCCTAAAAGTAAAGGCAAGATGATGATGCTAACTGGAGGGAGTGTAGAAGCAGTCCTGCTAAGATGCTCTGTGATTTTTGCATATAGAGATCATTTGTTTCTGCAAGTAAAATACTTCAGGGCCCAGCTGGGTGCAGTCCAAATAAATGGAGAGTTATTTATGCAAATGTTAAGCTAGCAGCTGCCAATTTCTGTGGCTCCTTACTCACAGCAGCCACTGATAGAAAAGGCTTAGCAGAGTAGGCAAGCATTTGGCTGAATTCATAATTTAAAAGATTTTGGCTTTTTGCTGTAAAAGCCTTTCAGAGGATAGGTTGAGATCAGTAAAGAAACACAAGGTTGGCTGTTGTGAACACTTTCCCCGGTAGTCCTAGATAAGAAGGTGTGGAAAATGTACATCAGGATTCCACTACCGCATGGTGTAGCATGGCTATGGTCCTTCCCCTTGTCTTCTGCCTAGTCTAACATTACAGACAGAAGATTACAGCTTTCACTCACCATTCACCCGCAACATATATGCTACTGATAAGTAAGCATCACTAACTTCTCAGTATAAAAATAAATTATATCTGTTGATTGATGCTGTGCATCTCTATGTCTGCAATCCTAGAGAAGGGACAGGCCACATAAAGGAGTAAAGTAGTTAAAGGGCAATTGTAAAACTGGAAGACTGGAGTTTGGTATGTTCAGTTTCTTTTGTACCTGAAAAATAATTATTGTTAATCATAGTTATAATCAACTAAACTGAAAATAGTGGGGTTTCTTTTGTTTTTAATAACTGCACAGCTGCAGTTTTTGCCTACTGTTTTTTTTACCCAGTTTTGAAACAGGCAAAGGAAACAAGACATATATGATGGAACTGAATGAAAATGACCAGTCTGTAAGCAGATTTAAGGTGCTGGTGGTGGTGCCAGCTGATCCCACACCAACCAATGGTATTAAAAAAATGAAACTAAGGCTAACAATGGAGTTGAGCATGCTCATTTTGAAGTACTGAATTTTTCTGATGTGAAATACAAAAATTTACAGCCTTACTAGTGTTGTATTGGCAGTGTACAATTTTATTTTGGCTAAAGCTAGTACTCCATGTTCTCTGTTTCCAAAGGCGTGCCTTCTGGATCCTGATGTTGCTTCTGATCTTGAACTGAAAGCTAATCTTGGAAGAATTTAAGTGTTTCCTTCAGTTCTGGCAGGTATTACACAAACTTCCTACAATAAGTCATCTTTAATCTTCAATTACAGACTGTTCACTTACTGCTTGAATTTCAAATTTATATAACTTATAAGAAATTTAGTGAGATATTTAAAAAAAAGCAAAAAGCTCACACGTAACTGGGATACAGGGCAAAGGCAGACTTTTAAAATGGTACTGAAGATAAGTTCTGTTAAGGACACAGTACTGCTATACAGCATATAAGTCAGAATGAACCAAATTAAAAGAACGGTATACTTTTTGCATTTTTAGTATTTAGATACCCTGAAAAGCTTGAACCCAAACTTGCCTAGTTTTCACATACAGCCCATCCACAGCTCATGACTTTATGCTGAATTCCATTTTTGAATCTTAGCTTTGCTAGTGACACGTATACTTTCTTTCATGTGCTTTTTAAACTCATCTATATCTACTGAACCATCCTAACATGTTTTACCCATAGACTAGAGATTCCAATTCAGAAAGTGGTCTGTATGACAAAAAGCTTTAAAGTTTGAACCATGCTAATTTCTACTAGTAGTGAATTCTACTGACAGAACTACAAAAGAAAAGGCATCAGTCTGGAAGCATGTCTCTATGCCACACTAGGCCCATTTCTTCTATCCTTCTTCATAATATGATTATGCTACCTCTGTATTAGAAACAGTTGGAAGACCTTTTGGTTAGGAGTGTGTATGACTGAATAGCATTATACTGAATCGTTTATCACATGGTACCTCTGGGAAGTTTTACTGATGGCTGTGGTAAGCCTGGACATTTCTAAATACCTGTTTACTTGTAAAGCTTGGTATGTGCAGGAAAGCTTGCTTCTTAGGGCTGCGCTGTCACTTGAGAACTGTTCAGCTCTGTGGCAAAAGGAGGTGAGATGTTAGTAAAAACACTGATTTCACTACAGCAGATGGATTTTATGATGTGGTCAGTCTTGTTTTTCAAAGAGCACAGTTACACTGAATTTGAAATAAAGTAAGGAATGGCACCCGGAGCTTTTTGATGTTTAATTGCTTAGATGGGCTTTAAGACCATATTTACACATTTTTTTACATAAATTAAAAAAAAAAACAAACACTTTTTTCCTTCCTTTGTATAAAATAAGGGAAACTTCTGAAGGTTGTCTGAAGCTGAGTAAAACAGCCCTGAGTAATATCAGGGAAGCTATTGGAATAGTGGAATTAAACATCTACTTAGTCATTCATAGAAGCACTAATCTCAAACCTCCTGTTTAGCACAGGCATTCTGGTTGGAGATATCAGTTTAAAATATGTATTTTGTACACAGACTGCAGTAAGTCTGTAGAACATAAATATTCTGTATGAAATTACCACTGTCAAACTCATTCAGTAGTTGTTAGTACAGCCTAATCATCAAATACGGAAATTGAATTTTGTTATTTATTGCTTACAAGTGCTTCAAACTACAGGAAATCTTTGGTAAAAACAAAATTGATAAAATTTTCACAATAGCTTTACATGTAATATTGCACAACAAGGCTTTTTCAATGCACAAGAAAAAAGGAATGCTCAAATCCTCAGTGAGGAGATTAGAACTGTACAACATTCATTAGTTTACCACTATAAGCAGAACTTCTTTTCATAAATGTTTAAAATAGTTTCTGGTTTCTTTGAGCTTATATGAACATTTATTTTTCAATCTATATTTGAAACAGAAGAGTAGTCAAATAGAACAATTTAAATAAAAATTGGCAACTATACAACATTGTTTTGTCTACCCTACTACAGCATCAGATCTTTTCAAGTATGTTTACTTCACAAAAAAAAAAAAATCTTAAGAGGAAAAAGAAAAACCCTAAAAATAATCATAGTCCTCAGCCCTCTATGGAAAAGAGGAAAATAAGTTTAATGTCTATTATTGGACATAGACATTTCTCTAGTGGTCCACTTGTGCAGATTCAAACCTAAGTGGCATTAAGCTGCTCTAAATGAGCTCGTAGCTCAGGACACAGTTCAGTTAGCAGCAGTTCCAGCAAAACCTGAAAAACAGAGAAGATATGAGGTTGAATACAGATGCCAAATTAGCGTTCCTTTTAACCTTTCTGATATATTCAGAACATCACAGGTAACAGCAGCATACATGAGGTCCTTCTGCTCATCTTTCATGCAGCTGCTGTTCTGAAAGCGTTGAATTGTCCCAGCAATGCAGTGAGTGTCTGCTTCTTCTCAGCTATAATAAATCAGTGCATATCTTATGAAGTTGGGCAACTTGGATGGTGTGGAGACTCTTGTAGACAAAAGCAGTACTGTATTTTAAACAGCTTTTTGTTACTCAAAATGATTCAGATGATGAAAGGAGTATGTTTTTTCTGACTTTGCTCAAGAACAAAAAGAGTTACTTGCAGAGATTAGTACCATACTACTGTTATGTGTGCAAAACCACACACCCCAGGCTTTAATTCTGAGTGGAATTCAGCAATTAAGAAGATTCTAAAACTAAAAGCCCACTTTTCTGGTTACTCACATAGAGTAGATGCTTGTTGGCCTTTCTTTCTTGCAGTGCATTGAACACTTTCACTACACCATGGCGGGCGTTTTGCTGTCCAACGAGGCTCTGCAGAGTATCTGCAACAAACATGACTTCAGCGTACAGCTTCACTCCTGCTAGGCAGTGTCCAACCAACACTACTACCCAAAAATACATAAGGCTGGAAAATGAAACACTGCCCTTCATGGTAGATAGTTAGATGTATAAATGCCATCTGCCAGCCTTTTAAAAACACATAGGTAACTCAGGTCACTGGTTGGAAAGGTACCCTTCACTCCCAAGTCAGCTGAGTTAAATAATAGTTTAGCTTGGTGACAATATTCTTTAAGTGTTTTCATGCAATATGTAGTCATTACACAGTCATCTCTAATGGCAAACATTATTAATCCATTCATTGAAATATACCTTCAGACACAAAGAATTCCTCCAACAGTTAAGATTTACTCTCCACCTTCCCAGAAATACTTCTTAGAAGCAAGCAGATGAGGGAAATCTATGTCTATCATTCACATTTTGGATTAAATTACAGTGGAGAGTAAATCCAGTGCTTCGTCATTAATTTCTGGTAAATCCAGATATGTCCTGAAGCATCACTTCTAATTGAAAAACAAATAAGAAAACCCAAAGCTACTAAGGAAGGCTGTTCTACGACAGTGCACCAGAAGCATGCACACTCAAGGGAAGCTGCCTCACTTGGTGGTGATTAAAGGGCAGGTGCAGGAAAGCACTGCAAACCCCACTCTGCCTGGGGTGTCTCTGTCCAGGCTGCAGGTCCCTCCAAGGTGCCCTGAAACCTCTTCTCAGAAAAGCACAGCATCACACAATAATGACAACGTGGGTAGACCTCCCTCTTCCATTTTAAAATACTAGAGCAAGTGGCAATGACTGTGGTGCCACTCTTCCTGTATGTCAAGTAGTTCCAGGCAGCAGAACCACCTCCTGTTTGCTCACTGGGACATAGCAGAGAGTACCCAGACTTCACTTAGCTTTCTTAATGAGTATTATGTACAAACTCCAGCAATACTGGACCTTCTATCCCCTGGTAATACCCAAGTCCATGCCATTTACCTGACAAAGATGGGAGAAGCAAAGAACAAGGCCAAAATTACACTTATTTATGCAAATAAGCATGACTTACAGCTCCAAAGGAAAAATCTAAAATGCAGCAGAACAGGATTTGATTAACCGGTTTCCTTACTAGTTATTAGATCTGGGATTAAGCAGAATGGAGGTGTTCTCACCTGGAATGTTTTCAAGTAGTTTTTGCTGTGCTCGCTGTTTGGTCTCTTGCTTTTGTTCATCACTCTTGGCAGTTGGTGGTGGTGCTAGCTTTCCATTTGGCCAAAAAGCATCTCGAAACACGCCAATATAGTAAACAAGCATTGCTTCACTGAACATCCAGTGTACAGTGTCACGGATTTGCCTGTAAAAAAGCATGGAAGTGAGCACATCACACCTTATCCAAATCTGTTTTTTTTCCCCTACTAAAAAACAGTGGAAGCAATGCTTATCTTCATGTAAATATCTCAATTTACCGATGCCAATTCCACCAGCATTACAGCATGCTGTACTGAGCAGCTGTGCTCTAAAATGGAGATCACTGCAGATAATCTGACTGAGATATACAGAAGGCTGCACTTCAGTGTAGCCTGCAAATACTTATTCCACAAAGAGCTACTCAGAGCCAGGTCATTCAGAAAAACAGGGCAGCGGCTCATCACACATGCAAGGCTGCTTCATTGAGAAGTCTCTTAGGGTTCCCATCTCCCGATTTCTTTCAGAAGTAAAGCCCTTTGTAGAGGAAAAAGTCCTGGGTAAATGGGCTGAAAGATAAGCCATATTTGTGGCTTCTCTACTCAACCTATCTGTAAACTGAGCTATGGAAAACAAATGTGGATTACCATATACAACAGAGTGTCCAGATTATTGTTATTGTTACTCTCAACAATTCTGCTCAGTCTTTTCCCTGTGGAACAATGTTGCAGGTTCAATTCAAGTAACAGGCACTTACTTGTTGATTGTTCTTCCAAAAGTGACTTGTACTAGTGCAATTAATGTTTTTCTCACCCACTTAAACACTGGAACGATGAAAGAGGACAGGAAATGAAGGTCACGGAGTTACTAACATTACAAACCCATAATCACATCCCCCTAAAAACCACAAACCAAAAAACCCATCCCTGCATTAAATATTAATTAATGGTACGTGAGTCTCTTTTTTTCTTGTTTTCTCTGTACTGTTTGCTATACAGTTTTTAAGTCCTGCAGATGACAGAAACACATCTGCATTATGCATTTGCCATTGATACTGTAAGCTTTAATGTTCAAGAATATTTGAAGTGTACCGAACCATGAAACTGCCCAACCACTTTTTGTGCTAGAAGAAAAGGAAGACTTTCTGTACCCTACAACTACAATGCTGTATATGCAGCAGCAGCACTGCAATTCCAGAAGTATTCTCAGTCACGCAGTTAGCTTTCCATTGCCAATTAAAAGAACAAATGCAAGTGCTTCCTAGTAATTAGAGTCTAATACTTCTTTCATGCTGTTCACCATCATTAGAAGAAAAGCCTATATTTGGAATCTACATCTGTTATTTTTGGAAGGGGCTGCATTTTGTAATAATTACCCTGTACCTAATTTTATAAAGTGTCAAGTGTGGCTCTACATTCAAACAGAACCAAAAATAGTTTTCATCACTCAGTTACATAAAGAAGGAAAAAATCTGATAGGGAAAGGTGCCACAGTTCTAGCATCTTTTCCATTATACAAAGTGTAGAACTGAAATGCATCCATAATGCACTTGAAATGGACATTAAAACCACACTGCTTCATTGCTGGCACATCCTGTGATGGAGTTGTCTTTCCTTCCTCATAAATTGTATGTTGCAATCTGCAGCCCATATACAGATAACATGCTGTTGTACTTCCCTATTTTCTCCAAATTCATTTTCTTTAATGAAAAAGCATATTCCCTCCCTTGCCAGTGACATTTTTACTGCAGTGTTACACTGTAATAGCGCTTGTATTCTGAAGTTTAAAAGTTAGGAACTATTGCAAAACAGCTCCTTGCCAGAATAGTTGGCTACAGAGGTTTCAAGAATATTTCAACTTTTTGAAATAGAAAGATGTGAATTACAAAGCACCCCAGATTTCTTGGCCAACAGGTTCCACTAGCAAATAAGCAGGTTTGCAGCTTACTTCCTCGCAGCTCAAAAATCTCCCCAATCAGCATGAAACACGGCTCAGCAATAGAGTCCCTTTTTCCATCCACCTCTTCCCCATAGTCCGACAGGTCACTGTCCTCTTCCGTTTCTTCCTAAGAACAGAGGGACAAAGTAGGCACAGCATGACATTTCTTCAATACTGCTTTTTTTTTTTTTTTTTTTTCCCTCCTCTCATCTTCTGGTCCAGAGGACCTCCTTCATGATTTAATTTCTCTTAATTTGTTTGCTTTCTTTGCCTAACAGTGATGGACTTTCAATTGCCTATCACCCAAACCCTGCCTGCACATGGGGCTGGAACTGGGTGACCTTCAAGTTCCCTTCCAACCCTCTTGTTCTGTGATTTTCAAGTCCTCTCCTACAGTGTTTCAGCTGTACATCAGAATGTCTTAACCCTTCTTCCTATCCTCCAAACCCCGCCTTTGCAATGCCCCGCATTGCAAAGCAGCAATAATTCACTCTGTAAATGCAGGAAACAAAAATACTGATACTGATAATAGTACAGGAGAAAGATCCCAGGGCCACACTGCTGTGCAAAAGGCAAGCATAACAGCATGATACGTAGGCAGGATTGCTGTCCATCAGACAGTTGTGAGCATATGTAAAGGAGACTTTCATACACAGAAATATGAAAACCCAGTGATTGCAATGCATTTCAAAATCAGTCATATTTCCAAGAAAAATGTGGATGATCAGGAAAGTGCAGAGCAGAACTGTGAGAACTACACAGAACATGGTAGGAGATGCTGGGGCTGCTCACTCTAAGAAATAAAAGAGTAAAAGACCCAAGGAAAGTAGTAACTCCTGATAAAGAGCATGATCCTCACCCAAATACAGAGGTTTTCTCTAAAGAAAGAGAATGGGCTGCTCTGTGTTTGCTGCAGAACAAGAGCTGGTTGAATACAGCAAGATTTGGGTTAGATGGTAAGAACAGGCTTATAACCAAGGAGAGAGCTGAAAACTGATACACTACCCTGCGTGGCTGAAGAGCATCCATTGGTCACTGGAGGTTTAAATATACCCCAGATAAAGACCTGACAGTAATTTTGCTGGTATAGATGAGCCTACTCAGAGCAGAAGGGCAAATCCAATGATCCCTCTGTGGTCCCCATTTTATTTTTCTGCTCAAGAGAATCCTCCCCCATTTAGAAAATGCAGTAAGTAACTTACACTGCAGTGGTGTGTTTTCTATCCCCATTAATAATTCATAAACCCCTAAACCACTCTCTAGATACTATCAGTTGTACTTTTCCTCTTATTTAATTCCATTCCAAATTTAGCCCCAATTAAGGAACCCCGGATAGCTGAGATCCGAAATTACTGCAATATATAATCCTGAAAGCAGCACTCAAGAGGTTAATATTGTCTCACGTTATTCAGATATGTGCTAGAACAACAAGTAAAGTTATAAGAGAGCATATTTTGAACTCTTCAATAGAGTTCAAAATATGGAATAAAACATGACACAGTCAAATAATATAATACACACATGATCTGGCTTTTTTCTTGAGGATGTTTTTCTACTAATTAGTGCACTACTAACAGCTTCCTTGGTTTTTTTGCTACTTCTACCTATTAGTCAGTATGGTGAATATAAACTATTTTCCATCTTTAGAAGAACAGAAGTACTTCTGTCAAAATGTTTGAGATGCTCGTTTTACTTTCTTTATGTTAAGTCTTCTGAAATAATACAATGTGTTCATTGCCCAGGTGTGAATTCAGTGCAATTTTGGAAACATTCAGGATTTTCTTACGTGACAGTAACAAGACCATCTTTTTGTCTATTAACAGGCCAGCTCCATACAAGTTTCCCTAACTCCACTTAGCCTTGAGGAGGCCCACTCACTGCAGAAAACTACAGCATTTAGTAAAAGAATTGTTTAATATACCATGCAACTGGTGATAGAAGCAGTTCCGTGGAGGATGTATAACTGTAACCCAAACGACACATGACAGAGTGCCATGAAATTTTAGTTTTAGTCAGTGAGCTATTTTAGTCATTCATCTTTTCTTTGTTGTGTTTTCAAAGACACAACAGTGTTTTTTATGCTTTAGTATCAAATATGCCAACCTGTTTGGCCACATGGGCTACCATCCGCATACACAAATTCCCTCTGTGAGCCTGTACCATTTGCAGACATTCTTCATCAAAACCAGCTTTGCTCCACAAGTTGTTGCTGCCAAGAGAAGTCTCTTAAGAGAAAAACTCCCTAAAACATGCATGTCTAAAGCATAGAAAGAGGGAACACTAATAAAAACTAAACAATCCCACATAGACTGCATTTCATTCATTTGTGATGATAGGTTGCACAGTTACCTATATATATGTATATCTGTGTGTGTGTCAAAGGGCAGGAAATTTTTTAAAAATACCTCATAAATTCATAGACAGCTCTTTTCTCTGAATCTTTGTTCGCTAAAGGTAAATTAAAAATGACCTTTGAAAAATGCCTTCCAATACTACCTGCCATTCAAATGTATTGTAATAATGGCTCTGTCTGCTTACTCTGGCTAAGTAATTAAATCTGGGAAGATAACTTACCTCCTGATGAGAAAACCAGTCACAAGGAAGTCGCTCTAAAAATGATGAGAGTGAAAAAGACGACTTTTTTCCTTGCACATCAATCACTTTGAGGTGTTCTGGAGAAGGGCTCAAGAAGGCATAAAGTGCTTCACTTTGACAGAGCCTTTCATCAGAGAGCAATTTCTGTGAAAGGAATACAGAGACAAAAACAACACATTAACTATTTCTTTGTAAGGAACAAAGTGCATCAGGCCAGCTAATAAAACTTAGTGATTAAGAAAGCTCAAAAGTAGAATGAGATAAAATAATCTATGTCTGACAGATGCTTGGCTATGATGATCTTATTTTAAGAAGCTTGTCAAGCCTTTAATCTGGCAACTTCATTTTTTAAAACATGAAGTTCTGATTTATAAGAAATCAGTTGTTAGTGTTGTAGTTAAAAATGACAATTCTAGGACTCATTATTTATTACTTCTTAGCTGGTCAGCGATCAAATTAACTTACCTCTAGAGGACTGGCTACTATCAGCCAAACCCATCTCAACTTCGTGCATTTTAGATGACTCTCACGCTTAGCAATGTCAGTCCTTGCAGCTGAGCTGTTTTGCTCTATGCTCTCCTTTTAGTCAATAGAGAGAGCATCAACTCCCAAGGCATTATTCAGTTCTCTTCTTTAGACACCTAACTTCAGTCAAACGCACCTGGGAGCGCCCACCTGTCTGCATGCGGGTACAGAAGCTTTTGAGGAATTCCACCCTAGTATGCCATGAATTGAATTTCTCAGGTATCTCACAGAAGTTCTTTTAAGGCTACACATCCCTGCAAAGAATGAACATGAACACATGGACTGCCTTAAGCCCTCACACCAGGCTGTAATTCCAGCAGGGTTACTGCCAACTTCTTGCCCACAGGACAGGAGAAGCCACTCTTTAGAATGCTTCTGGTGACAGTGAATGAGCCAGAGGAAAAAGAAATCCCCTTTTTGTGGCCACCAGACTGCTGCATGCCAAAATGGCACTGGTCAAGTTAGCAGAAGCTGTTCTTACTCAGTCTGTTGCTGCTGGCACTAGCAGCGCTACTCAGAACATGGGAAACCACTGTACAACCATCAGGGAGCAAGGGATATCACAGCTCTATCAGGAGTATGAAGGAAGACAAGAGAGAAGGACATAAAGCTTGCCACCTACATTTTGGTAAAGGATCGTGACAGCACCTAAGAAAAAAAACATGAAGATTCACAGTCACCTGGTTTATAATTTTAGCACATTTTTTTTCAATAATGTTTTTGGACACAACAAGTTGGCAACCTGTCCAAGTCTGAAATCCTATCCGTCCAAGTTTGAAATCCTATCACTTCAAGAATAAGTAAAGTTCATATTTAGAACGAAAGGTACTCAATTCCAGTTCAGCCTCCATCTTAACTGTGAAAGAATCCAGATGATTGATAACATTACTCTCAACAGAAGTGTTCATTGCAAACAGCAAAGTTTGGTTGTCCCATAAATCACTGGCAAATAGGAAGGTACATCTGAAGTCTACACAACACTTTTCATACTGATATCTTCCAGCTAACACATAACACATGAATTACTTGTGTGCTTGAGAATTCAAGTAATTTATTTTAAAAAGCAGCCATACATACAGAGTGTGCTGTAAAATAAAAAGCAAATGCTGTGAATGTAATTTGTGGTGTTAACCTGAGACCAAATTTGTCTACAGAAGCAAAACTGAACTCCCTCTCCAAGAATACCTTTCTATTTTAAACAAATTAAATAACAAGGCTCTCCACCTGAGGCTCTAGGTGACCTAAAAACAGTAATCACACACTGCATTCCATTAAATTAATGCCATCTCAGCAGTATTAGCCTAGTTCACAGACACCCAACTCCAGCAGAAGCCAAGCCACTTCTTCTACGCTGCAAGAGGCACAACTCCCCCTCCCTGCTGACAGCCCCTCAAGCTAACTGGCCACACACCAAACCCAGACTACGTGGGACTAAGAAGGAAAATGCTCTGCCATCACTGACCCTTTGTGCTGCAGTCAAGATGGGGCAGGGGTGTGCAGTTTCTAAGATGGACAATCTGAAGTCTTGTTTGGAAAGAACAGAGAGGGAAGGGTAGAAGAAAAAGACCTAAATGGCACACAAAGACCTCACAAAGAGAGAAAGGACAGAGACATTACTTGAAAACTAGCAGGAAATGGATACATTCGCCAAAGCATGATGGAAAACTAGGATTTTTCAATCACTGGCTGTAAAAGTGTGGTGAAAGGAAAATAACTGTGGTCATCAAATCCTTGTAGGACAGAAGAGATGAACATACAGCTGTGTCTTAACTTCTGGTACTGTCATCACTCTGTGGTCTGCTTTCTTACCTGCAGAAAGTTATTAAGCTGGTTCTTAGACTTCTCCATGAACTTCTGGTCTATAGATTTGAAGGGCAGCTTGCTGAGTGAAGGCAACTGAACTTTCTTTAATGATGGAAAGCACTGTAGGAGAAAGGGCAGCTCACTTAATGTGCATGCGCAGAAAAACAACAGTGGTGCCAGTTCTAAATGGAAATGAGATTCTGTAGTCTCATCTGCCTTCCATATTCTGCTCAGCATGCTGAATAACACCTTTCCCTCACCCACTGTGGGCTGACACATCTAAACCTTTCTGCAACTCCCAACACCACTATTATCAATCTTCTACAAGATAGAAAAGGTAGAGCAAATTAAGAGGAAATTTCCTCTGTTTGAAGAGTGTCACTCTTAATATCTCTCTGGGAGCCAGAGACTTAATTTAGTTTTTAAAACATTGACAGGTGCAAGTACATTATTTAGATGTTGGGTCACTTTGGTAAAACGCTCATTATTAAGAAAAAAAGCAAATAATTCTATGTATATTTGGCAGAGGCAAGGTATATGTAGATAATGAACCTAGAAAGGGTGAAAGCCAGAAGACTGGAGAACTGGTCATATTTTTGTGTGGTATTCAGCATTGGCTTTTTTCCTCTCTCCATATACAACCCTGACAACTTTTAGCAATCTACATCCTCTGCATCCCTTGAGATTCATACCTCACTGAGCTTCCGGTGTAGGTTCTGAAACTCACTGAGCTTCCTGGGAACAGTCCAGTTCTTAGTTTCAGCTCCACCGACTTCTTGTAAACTCACTAGGACAGAGTAACAGGGCACTTGTTCTCCGTTCTCTTCTAAAACCTTATGGGGGAAAACAAAAAAAGCCAACAAAAATACAGATAAGGTATAATTCTGAAAGTGGAACAATTTGTGCTGCCAGAGTGGCATGCAAATTCACTCACCATCACTGCACAAAATTTAAGTCTCTTTGTGAAGACAATCATCAGACAATCTACAGAAAACTTAAACTAAAAACTATACCAAAATGTCACGTGCCTGTCTTAATATATAGTAACAGAAAGGTGACTACAGAACACCATTCTCACCCCACCTGTTTGAGGGAAGTAACAATATATTTAAGCTTTCCAGACTTTTATTTATTTTTAAGGAGACTTAATTAATCCAGATAGAAGAACAATCTTTAAAATTCATAGAATTATGACATGCTTTCTGAGAAGCCTGTGGAAGTCTGACAATGCTTAATGCTTTACAGGTGATTTGAAGAGCTGCCACGACACCAGTGCAGAAGGTACACAGTTAAAATATATCTGCATCTTGTACAGCTGCTCAGCTGCACCAGGAGAACATTCTCTGCAATGCACTCTTCCTGTATCTGCCCATGGAAACTGGGAAACCCTATCTGACTTCTGGGTTTCACATCTCTCTAGAGAAAAAGTGCAGCAGCATCCTGACAGAACACAGCACCAGATTCAACTTCCAAAAATGTGCCTGGTTCCAAGCACAGTTATTTCAGGAACTACCTTCCTGCTTTCTCAGCCAGAACACTGCAAAAAGAGCTGCTTGAATAGCAGCTTCCAGCACGTGGCTCAGAGGGAACATTGTCTAGCAGGAAGGTTCCCACCCTTTGGGTTTGTGTTTTCAAGTCTCATGCAAACATCTCACAACAGCTATTTCTGCAAAATGGAAACAATGATCTGTGCAACTTACTCTCAGATATAAAGCACTCTCTGGGTATCCTATTCTAGTTCCTTGAAACTGCAATACCATTACATATTGTAATACAATGTGCAAAAAGTGTGCATATCTTTGAAGTATACTGGAGAGACAATCATGCTCAAGTGCAAAAGCATGGTGTTTATAGCATGAGGCAGCTCTAATGAAAAACTGTGCACTTAATCGAGCAAATTAATTTACCCAATGCCAAAACCTGCTCATATATACACAGGTGTTTTAGTAACTCCATTACAACAGAGTCTGGGGACTGGAAATGTTTCTATATATAATATAATAAACACTTGGGAAAGAAAGGAGTTCAGAAGAGGTTGGTTTTTCCCCCCAAGCAAATACAAAGTGCAGACACGTACACAAAGGCAGAAGGAAAGCATAAGCAATTTTTGTATCCTTCTCTTTCTGCAAGTTTGAACTGCTGCAGAGGATGAAGACCCATAAAAACCATACCTCGCCTGAGATGATGAAGGCTTTCCACATGCCAAGATTCTCACACCACCAGTCTGTTCTTGCAATGTGCAACTGAAGGTCATTATGCTCTCTCTCCATCAGAGTGATCTCATCCTTCAGCTTAGAAACAATCTGCAGAGGAAGATTTATCAATTACCACTGGGAAGAAAAAGCTTAGGTGGCACATCTAGTCACGTTTCTGAGGCCAC